ACTTCACTTTTAGTACGAAGAAAATAAGCTCAAGTAAGACAAGAATAACAATCAATAAAAGTGACAACCCAACAATAACGAGAAATAGACACAGCATAAGAAAGTCCCCACACATCAGAGTAAATAATGACAAAGAGAGCAGTGCTTTTATTATTAGTACTAGGATAAGATGAACGTTTATACTTTGTAAATTCGCAAGCATCATAAACAAAGTTATGTCTATTACACTGTTTCACTAGACTAGAGCAAAGTTTCTCCCTAACACCAAATGAAAGATGTTTCAAACGTCTATGCCACTGATGCAAGAGATAAAGAGTCAAAACACCATCTGCTTGAAGTGCTAAACTAGTAGAATGAGAAGAAGCTTCAACATTCTAAAGGTATAGAGTCTAGACCACCATGTGCTCAACTATTGTCAATAGTTTTCCCTCACTCCAGATCTTGAAAGATACAACGAGTATGGTAAAAGGTCATTGAACAATCCAGGGAATTTGCGATGTTGCTAACAGACAACAAATTTGTAGAAAAATTGGAGACACAAAGAACAGATGAAAGGAATAAGGTTGAAAAGCAATTAATTGAACATTTTCCTGAAATAGAAGATAAAATTCCATCTGTCACTCTTACCTTAGCCTTACATGAACATGTAGAATATGAAGAGAAGAGACTAAAGGAACTTATCATGTGGTCCGTGGCTGCAGAATCGATTATCCAAAGATTGAATAAAGATGAAACCCTAAATACACTAGCAGATATACCTAGTTTAGCAAAGTTGGTAGAGAAAGAAGAAGCATGATTAGAAGAAACATCAAGATGAGTCAACAGACGTCTAAGAGTTTACAACTCATCCTGAGAAAAAGAAGTTGAAGTACGGCCACCTGACTGAGATGGATGCTCTGAAGTTTATGTAATGTGTGCATGAGATCGCATAATACCACCTTGGCCGTGTGTGGGTCAAACAGTCAGCTTCCAACAAGACTCCCTAGTATGCCTATTCTTTCCACAAAAATCACATTTAAGGTATTCGTGTCCATGGTACAAGCTGCTAAAACCTAGATTTGGATCCAACCAACCGCAAAGAACCCTGTACACAAGCCCTAGATCTGCCCCAAATATGCAATACAAATTCCAGTGAAACACCCAAATAACTCAGCAGTAGTAAAAGATTGGTCAAAAACCCAGTAGCAAAACAGTGGCTAAAGCATCACCAAAGGGCAAAACGCAGCAGCCAAAACAAAATCAAAGCCAAATAAAGGTCAAAAACACAACTAGAATCAAAGAACTCCAAGTCAGCCCACAAAATCACCTCGAAAACAGGAAAAGCTCCAAATAGCCTGGAGGCGCAGATCTGCCAAAAACCTTTTTGTCGAGAATTAAAAGAGTCAAAAGACCTCACAAATCTAAACGTACCGCCACAAAAGCGCATGGGCATAGATCAAGCCCAGTCGCACCCCCACCAAAGTCAAATCAACTCAAAAATGAACTCCAGATTACCAGAAAATCATAGATCAGTGGAAGAACTTAGAAAATTGCAAAAAGCTTTCAAAAAATCAAAAAATCATTCATGACTTTAAAAAATTTCAAAAAAATCTTCATAAATCTCAGATATCATAGGCGAAACTCCCCTGAGAATTTCAGAAAATTCTGACAAGGTTGGTCACTGTCGTACGTCAGAATCTAACAATGCCCACTGCAAGTTGCACGATCTGATTTCCGATGAATTCCAACAACTTTGGGACATCAGATTTGATCTATCTCTGATATCAAGTTAAATTATGCAATGATTAGGGTTTAAAAGAACAGAAGATAAGAGAAGATAGGAGAAAAAGAAGCAAGATTATGGAAGAGAGTAATGTATTACACTACACCCCAACTTATATATATATATATATATATATATATATAAGTGCGAAGTGCAAGAGTACACTCAAGCTAAAAATAAAGTATGACCAAAGATCAAAATATCGTTTTGAAACGGTCGAAACGTTTTTGTTTCCAAGGAGACCGAAATCAATCAGTGATGGAATCGAAATTCTAATATTTCGAGATATTTCATAATGTTTTGAGATGTATTATAATATTTCAATGCATTTGCACAATTGTTTCGGAATGTTTCAAGGTATTTCAAGATATTTTGACATATTTAAATCAATATTTTAGTAAAATAATTTTAAATTTTTATTTTGTTCATTATGTTTACGAAACGGATCGAAATATTTTTGAAACACATCAAAACGTTTTTGTTTCCTAGGTGACCGAAACAATACACTGAAAACAAAATTTTAATCCTTGAGTATGACTAACAATAACTAACAGCATTGTAGATCAGACCTGATCGCATCCCATAGAAGCAGATCGAGTCAAAAAAAGCCTTCAAATTGCTTGAAAATCACAAATCGCACTTCCAAGTACCAAAAAACCAAATAAATTCAAAAATTCGAAAGACCACTCAAACAAATTCAAAAAATGCTAGAAAAATGACCATAATTCTCAAGAGGAGTCCATGTTCATCAAAAAATTCTAACATCATCGATGCCAACATCAACCAGTCAGATGCTAACGAAAGCACATTGTACGATGTCCGACACTCACTGTTCACAGTTGAGTTGAGTTCCATCGAATTTTGATGACTTTGGGACGTTCAATTTGGATTACAGCTCTGATACCAAGTTAAGTAGTTAAGTCATTAGGGTTTTGAGAGAGAGAGAGAAGAATAGGAAAAAGTGAAAGTAGTGTCATAATAGTGTAGTTGTTAGGTTATGAACCAGAATTCCATTATAAAAATTGGTGAAGACCTTGGGCAATTCAGATTGGTATTTCATAAAAAACAACTAAGTCATACTTGAGAAATCATCAATAAAGATTACAAAATATTGCAAATCAAAAATAATTTTGACTCTTGTAAGACCTCAAATTCTATATGAACAACATGAAAAGGACAAAATTGAAGACGGGAAGAACTACAAGGAAAAGAATTATAGTGATGCTTGCCGACTTGACAAGCCTCACACTCTAACACAAAAGAATAACTCAAACCAAGGATAAAACTTGACTCAACGTTTCCAAGGAGGGGGATGACCCAGTTTTAAATGCCCCTGAACAGGAGACACGGTAGCACTCAAAGACAACAATAGAACCATAAGCATCTTAGTAGTAAAGTTAATTGCTCGTGTCTGCAACCAAATCACCTTTTTCACTTTGAGATCCAAAAAAATACAAGATGGAGAAAAGCTTACTAAACACTGTAAGCACATAGTTAGCTAACTCATAAATAACAAGTTAAAAGGGAAAATTATGAATAAACAAACCAATGATTAATGGCATCGACGAAGTATGACGAAGATTGTCAATTGAATGTTTTGGTCAAAAAGAACCATTACCTAACACAATATCTGAGTTAGAAGAACAAAAATTAGTGAATATGGAAGAAATATCAGACATATGGGCACTAGCTCCTGAATCAATGGTCCAAAATAACAAAGAAGGTTGAGCAACCACACATGTAGAGTTACCTCTATTAGCAAAAACCGTAGCAGGAGCAAATAAATGTGAAGAAAGGAAAGACAACTGCACAAATGTGAAGAAAGGGAAGACAATTATTGGATAAGCTAACTAAACTAAAAAGAAAGATCATCACAAGAGCCAAAAATAGACGCAACTAGATCATTGGTAGAAGTCTAATGCACTTGAGAGCCCCAAGTATCATCAAAAGTCTTATTAGCATATGTTGTTCTTATATATTTATCCCAACAATAATTCTCAATATGTCTTGTACCACCACAATAAGTACACTTTCACATAGAATGATGATCATGGCCAGAACGACCACCAGTTCTACCATTTAAAGTCGCCAAGGAGAAACCCAAAAAATTAATTATGCAGGGCCGAACAAAAAGAAACCTATAAACAGCCACATTATCCACCAAGAATCAGCAATCACACAAAATCTGACTAAAAATTGAACCATAATCAAACCTAAAGTAGAAACCTAAAAAAAGCTAAATATAAAAAGTGATCTCGCCGAGAATGTTGAATATGGATTTCAATCACAAATCACACACAAACCACCCAACATAATGTTGACACTAATCAAACTTGCAAACCACACAAAGTAGCCCAAACTGGGTTGGATATCTCATAATTGAGAAGATAATAATCTGATATTCACCAAATAGAAGGAGGACTATTCTAATAAGCCTCCACAGATCAACAAACAAAACCCAAGCATAACCCAAGAGCAAAAACACATTTACACACAACCCCGTGGTAAAACTCAGGCACAAAGAAGCTCAAACTAGGGCTAAACAACTAGTCGTATTGAGAATAGGGAGCCGAACTAGGTCTTCACTCCAAAATCATCCACATATCCACAAAACAACTACGGGTCACCCGAATCAATCTTCACAAGTCTTAGCGAGACCCCTTAGGACTGAAGCAAAGCATCAAAAACCCTCGAATTATGCAAAAACAACAAACCAAAAAATCACAAAGTATTGTTAAAAAATATATCCAAAAAACAAGGGGGAAAAAGCTCAAACAACTTCAAAAAATTCACCATAAATATCAATACAAAAAACCAAGCCTGGAGACGGATTTTGGTCACCCGGAAAAATCTAACGTTAGCCCACTGACCATCAACGACTGCAACTATAGGTTTTTATGTCCGGATATCTTTGATTTATTTTTCGATGAGGTTCTACCTTAGATTGATGCTCTTATACCAAGTAGAGAAGTAAAAGCAACAATATTATGTTACGAGAAAGAGAAAAGAAGAGAAGATAAAGAGAGGAAGAGAATGAAAGATGAGAATAATATGCAAGAAGAAAACTAGGTTGCTATTACGTATTGAGAAGAGAAAAACATCACATGCATGGCAAGCTTCACAATCACCAAAATTTTAACTTAAAACAAAAGGGAATCAACGTACAAGCCATGAATATCTAATGAGAATGACTAATTGTTGCATATAGACCCAGTGACGAAGAAAGGGCAATATTCGCTCACACAAGTGGGAGGCACAAGGATAAAGCAGCAAAAAATACTACCTCCTCAATATTATGTAGAAAATGGTTCCTTCCAACAAATTGGGCAATTGCTCTACACTGAGGACAAAGAACACTTGAATGCTTATCCTGGCACCTTCTCAACCACTCTGAGAAGCATCCATTGCTGGAAATAACCAAAAAAAAAAAAAAAAGAAGCTATATTACAAGACAAGAAAGTTCAAATAATGCTTTCTATGACTAAAAAGTATTTTAACGCATGTACCAAAAGTTGTGAAGGCAGGGGGCAACTGTGACAACATCATGCCATATGTTTAGACATATGCTACATTTCGCATGCTCAGCATCCACGCATATCTAGCACAACATGATAGAGTTTAGTATTTGATATATACTGCCAGCAATGAAGTACATCTATAAACAGTTCCCAATCATCACAGAAGATTATTCACCTTCAGCTGTTTATTGCAAGTTTCCTGGGGAGGCATTACTTTGAATCTGTAACTCAAGTACCCTGGAAACATGCCCATATCATTTGAGATTTAGAAAGAAAAAAAAACCTACACAATTCACATGGAAGCTTTCACCAATAGAGAGCTCAACTTTTGATATGCAACAATAAGATATGTGGGCAACTCATTTATTGAAAATGTAAAAGAATAATATTTTGTTCCCACAAACCTATCGTTATGAATATAATTACCCAGACAAAACAGGAAGTTGATGTGTGTTATTCCAACTTAAAAATTCCATCCATAGATCCATAAGAGAACAATTAGAGAACCAATACAGCACTAGAGTAGAAATCGGAGGTGCCAAACAAAAATGAGACTGTTGAAGTCTTTTATTAAAAACTAGGAAAAAGACACATGTTTAAAAGATAGCTTTAAACTTCATCCTACTCAATAGAACTCTATCACATATTATGTTATTGTCGGTTTATTCCGTGAGTCTCATGCATTTGGTCAAAGTGGTAATAGGTTTAGGTCACGGTTCAATGAATTGAAGATGGAAACCCAAAGTGGTTCGAGATTCATTTATTACATCATGGATTCACCACACACCGGTTTAGATTGGTTAGTTGAATTATAAGAATAGTTGAACCTTAGAAGGTTAGATTAGCCTAATTATAATAAAATTGATTGACCGTGATTAAATGAGAACTCACCTGTCCTTAGGCATTGATTTGGAAAAAAATTATTTGAATATTAGATTTTTTGCCAAAACTAATACCTTTTGACGGGATCTTATTGGTGTTCAAACGGAATGCTTAAAATCTGTTGGAATGAAATTCCATAGATTGTCTTTAATGTCTGTTTCAATGTTACCTAGATCATGGGTTGAATTGGTACATGGGGTGCGCGGTGTAAAATTCGGGTAAAATTGAACTTTTTCTAAAAAAGGGCAAAACGGTAATTTGCCACTATAATACGGATTTAAAATACGTATTTCTACAGAGCTTGGATGACGTAAAGGACATCACCGTTGGATTCGTATCGCAAAATCGAGTTGTCTAGTAAATATTTGTCGAATTCCAAGATAGTTAAATTTTTCACGTTTTACGAGACAACTAGGTGACGAATTACCACACAAAGGTACTCCAAAAAAAAAAATTAAAAATTTTCTTATAATTGAATTAAATTTTATATAAAATTAATTTGGACTTAAACCAGTATGAAATTTAATCGTTTTGGAGCAAAAACGGACCCGAAAATAGGAGTCGTGTGGCGTATTGTGAGCCAAGGGTTTTGGGACTATAAATAGGTGGAAAAATCTGATTTCTCTACTGATTTTTCTCTGCTGGTCTGAACGTTGGGCTGAGAGGGAGCAAAAGAGAGAAAATAAGAGTTCTCAAACCTTTCTTCTAGCGATTTAGGGCCAAACTTTGGTCGAATCAACTTGGACTAAAAACAAAAAATGTTCTCCTCGACGTGGGCTACAAGACCATACCAAAAATCAAAGATTTCACCGAAGATCCAAAGGGGGAATTTTGGAGAAATCAAAGCTTTGGGCTTGAATCGTGTTCATAAAGCTTCCTACGGGTGTTTTACACTTCAAGAGGTAAGGTTCCTTCCTATTTGGATTTATTTCTATCCTATAATGTTTATATGAAAGAGAATAGGTATGTAGAATGTGTATACCACTTATCAATGGCTATGGAAATGAGGAAATAGGTGTAGAATTGGTTTGATTCAAGTTCTACTTTGAATTTGATATGTGGAAGTACTTGTGTAATTTCTTGGTGATGAAAATTATGTGTGCTTTAATATGTAGTAAAGTGAGTGTGTTTAACTCATAAATCAGTATGTGTGTTCAACTTCTAGCTTGAATTTGATATGTGGAAGTACTTGTATAATTTTTTGGTGATGGAAATTATGTGTACTTTAATATCTAGTAAAGTGAGTGTGTTTAACTCATAAATCAGTGTGTGTGTTCAACTTCCAGCTTGATTTTGATATGTGAGAGTTACTTGTGTAATCCCTTGAAAAATTGGTTTATGTGGGCATGTTATATGTTTATATTATGCCTTGTGATTAAGTGTGATTGGCATGAAATTGTGAAATGTCATACTTGAGCCTTGTGTTAGGAATAAATATTGATACATGCTAGCTGATGTATTGACATAATAATGAATTTTTGTGATTATATACATGTGATATAAATTGTCATGAAACATGTGAACATGTGGTTAAATTGCTCATTTGGTATTATTGCATATTGGGCATGGTGTCGGCATCACATTCATGGGCTTTATGCATGAGTGTGGGTGTGTGAGTGTTTGGTTTAATCAAACACCATACTTGGTGCTTGATGGGTGGGCTCGAAAAAATTAGATTGAAGATTCGACTAAGTTGCACAGTTACATGCATGGAAAACTTGTGTCGGGTATAGCAAGAAGGGCTAGATTCTCCCTCGGGTGCAAAATTCAACTACTTGGTTCACACACTCCCCTAAGGTGAAATTCTGAAAAAGTGTGCTGGTGTACGGAATAGGCGGTTGTGATACCAAAATCCGTTGCCCAACAAAGACACAAGATTTTGTTTTATAAAACACTCATTCAATGGGTAACATCCATCAATGATTTGGTTTTATAAAAACATAACTTTTATTTCAAACAATCATTGGATGAATTTTCGTCAAATGACGGTTTAATTGCACAAATGCATTGCATTGTGTTGTGGGAGTCAGTGAGGACTCGGGTTAAAGTGCATGAGTGAGTCTCATCTCATTTCATGGCATTACATAAAATTCCTATCATTGGATGTATATTCTTGATTGGAATGTTTGATCTATTGATTAGTTGCATTGTGAACATTTCATATGCATCTAGATTGAGGAGTAGCCTCTGTAGGAGATACTCTATTAAGCGTAGCTCACCCTATACGGGAAAACATTTCAGGTGGGGGATACACGCCGTTGGACGGTGCTCATTCAGGGCCCCAGTGACAAAGAAAGGCCGACTTATGGCTTTTAGTTCTTTTTTTGTAAAACTTTTACAAAGTTTGGTATGTAATGTATGTAAAAGAATTATAATTTTGCATTTGTATTAACTATGTTTAATGCATAAATTCATGATGTGGGAGTATGTATTGATGTATATTGGACCTCGAATAAGTCATGTGATTAAATGTTGTCATAAGAATATGAATAAATGGACTCAGTGTGGTCAATGTTGTATATTAAACCTCGGATAGGTCATGTGATTTTATAGTGCACAAGTTGTATTTTGGGTAGAGCTCTTCATACAAATGAGACTTTATTTAAATTTTGTTAAATTAAGGACCCCGGTTTTTTGAGTGTCACATATTACGCGGGTTGATGAGTGATCAACAGGTTGACAAAGGACCCCCTATTTTTGGGGCGTCACAGCTTGGTATCAGAGCTTAGGTATATAATTTACCTAGGGCTTTATGGGCATGGGTCTAGACCATTGCATTCATTGTGCATTTCATGTTATGTGCTTTAATATGCTACATGTTATGTGTTATGTGAAGATTATGCATGGTGAAATGTATATGGAAGGAGAAACACTGGGTTAGAAAATATAACCCTAAGGGGTTGGAAAGAGAATGAACGAGATGGTTCAGGATATAAATGTCTACTAGTGGTGGCACACACTCTACTAGTGAGACAAGGAGAGAGATCTCAAAGTTTGTACTTGATTCCTATCTTGAGATACTAAGTAAATGCTCTGTTGCTATTTGACATGTGTGTAAATAGAAAATAGAGAAAGGGGAAGAGGACGCGGCCGAGGCAGAGGCAGTGGACGGAACAACAACCAACCACCATCGGCCTTTGACCAACAGGCCTTTGTGGAGGCTATTGGTGCGGCGGCTGCTACCATTGCACAAGCTAGTGCTACAGCCGTTACTATTGCACAGACTGATGCAAATGTGGGTCAAGGAGGCTCAAGTAACCACCAGAAGTTCAAAGCGCATAATCCTTCAATCTTTCTAGGAGGGGCGGATCCAATGGTGGCCGATCGTTGGTTCTGACAAGTGGACAAGATCTTAAGGGCTATGGAGATCATCTCCGATGCCACTAAAGTAACACTAGCTACATTTCAACTAGAGGGAGAATCCCAAGTGTGTTGGGATTGGGTCAAGACCTCAAAGAACATAGAGGAAATGACATGGGCTGAGTTTAAAGAGCTTTTCAGGAGAAAGTATTTTCCGACTACTGCTAGACATGCAAAGGCCTGCGAATTCTTAGACTTGAAGCAAGGCACGATGATGGTGATGGAGTACATGGCTAAATTCACAGAATTAGCCCGTTTCGCCGACGATTATATGGCCACAGACATGGCCATGGTGAGGAAGTTTGAGGATGGTCTAAAATTGTCCATCCGGGGTAAAATTGTGGATCTTCTTCTACAAGATTTAGATTCGATGGTCGCGACAGCTATGGCTATTGAGAGAGAAGTTGAGGATGCACGGATCATCCGAGAGGCGGGTGTTAAAGACAAGAAGAAGGAGGGTCAATCCTCTTCTTATAGCTCGGGGAAGAAGCAGAAGACTTCTGCTCCACAAGGGTTTCAGGGGCAGGGCCGTAGCCATCAAGGCCAAGGCCAAGGTCAATCGTCCCAAGGCGGGAGAAATTAGAAGCCTTCCTACCACGCAAGTCAAAGGGCTTGCTATTATTGCAACCAACCAGGAAATATGAAGCGAGATTGTCCTCAACGGCAGGGATTCCAGAGTTATGGGTCATCTCAGTCCCAAACTTCGGTGGGGCAACCACAGACATATTATACTCCTCATTACCCTACCATAGGCTAGGGGAGCCAGTATCAGTTTCAGGGTACTACTCAGGCCCCTACTATTTCACGTGTTGAGACACCACAAGCAGGGCAGATAAGTCAGGGCATGGGTCAAGGCCGAGGACAAGACTCACAAGCTGATACTTCAGGGACCCAGGGGCGTGTCTACGCCATGATGCCACAGACTGAGCCAGCAGATCAGTCGGTGATACAGGGTACATTTCTACTCTC